TCCGGCCGGCCGGCCGAACCGGACGGACCGGTTCCGACCGGCCGTCGTTTCCGGACGGCTTTCTTGCCGTCCGGCCGGCCGGTTCGGACAGCAACGGTCCGTCCGGCCGTGCTTTCCGGCCGGTATTACTTGTCGTCCGGCCGGCCGGTCCGGACGGCTTTTAGTCCGTCCGGTTCCGGCGTCCGGACGGCTTTTAGCCCGTCCGGAACCGGCGACCGTACACGTATTTTTTCGTACCTCCGAATTTGACGACATTTCACCGTACACTTTCCTCTGAGATGTTTAGAAAAAATGAGAAGGGCAAAATTGTCCAAGGGGGGCGGTGACTAGTAAAATGGGGGGCGGTGAATAACAACACCCAAAACAATTGCTCCACTCAGAAAATTGAAATTGAAAGACTTTTGGTTTCCTTTGGAAGCAAGAAAGAAAACAATAAATAATAAAAATCGAATAAATAAACTGCAATTGAGAAGAAAAAGAGCCCTTTCATCTTCGCCTACTCAATCACAAGTATAATTCGACACTTTCCCATAATTCGGTCACGGCTTACCCGTTGAGAAGGATTCTAGAGTGGCACGCCGTTTAATTTTAAAGAATATGCGTGGGTTACCCTGAAAGTTCCGTTTATAATTTCTAACCAGCTGATCAGGTGAAGTTTCCTTTGGGTTTTCTGTTTTCATCGTTCACCCGTTTTCCATTCGACAATTTGATTTAACTTTTAGGGATAGGGTTCTCTTTTTGTAGGAGATAAGCGAGGGTGTACAGAAGAAGGATATTTTGAAGAAATAAAAGAGTACAGAAGAAGGATATATTTTGCGGCTTGGAGTTTCGGTCTCTCTCTAGCTATGGCGCATTCTTCCAGCATGGTTATCAAGGTTGTCGCTTGTTATTTTATTTAGTTATTTTGCTTTGATATTCTAGGTATGCTATATAAGTTGATAATAATTCATGCCTGTTATTCGTTGTCTTCGATTTGAAATTGCCGGATATTGAAGTTTTGAAGTAAATTAAGCTTCTTTTCTCTCGTTTTGGGTATGCCTGTTTGCTGAAATTGTGTAGCTTGGTGCACTTGGTTGATAATATTTGGGGTTTTGGTTATTTTTGTATGATCATCCTGTTCTTTAGTATGTTATTTTTCTTAGTGGGCTTGGATGGTTGGGCGGGCCTGGCCATGAGGGTGTTACATTTCTTATTTCTTGCTTGTTCATTCCTTCTGTCCCTTTGTTTATAATTAATAATGTTGTAATTGTTTATATTATTTTCCGTAGACTTGAATTTGGGGATATCTCCTTATATTTTGTGAGAACTTTGCCAAAAAGGCCATGCTTTCACTTTGTATTTGCCAAAATGTCATCTTTACTCTGTATATGAAGTCTATGATGGTCATTATTTGTTCCTGAAAGTCAAAAGTCTGGCATATTTGCAAACACTTGGGCAGAAAGTGACATTGTTGCATATTCTTTATTTTCTGTTTTTTTTTTTTATTAATGCTGAATACTATTTTGGCATAATTAATAAGTTAGTAATACCACCATATTGATTTATGAATGCTTATTTGTGGTATGATGCTCGCCGGCAAAAATGACACTTACATTTCTTTCATGCTTTTAAGTTCAAGCTGTGTACTTTCTCCTGTTGTTTATAAAGGGGTTGGGCAAAATTTATTTGATTATATTATTTTATGATCCCCGTATGAATTCTACTTTACCCTTGAACTTCAAATGCTTGTTAACTAACTCTTTGCATACTGTATCTTCAGGTAAAGTATGGCGATTCACTTAGGCGCTTCAGTGCCAAGATTGTTGGGGATGAAGTTAATTTCACCATGGATGGATTGAGAAAGAAGATCCTTTCCCTCTTCAGCTTTGGTGCTGATGCCGAGCTGATTCTTATTTATGTTGATGAAGATGGCGATGCTGTGACCCTCGCTGATGATGAGGATCTTCGTGATGCGGTGCGGCAGGATTTGAACCCATTGAGAATTACTGTTAAAGTGAATTCTGAAAAAGATGGGCACGGCTTGAACACTGGTGTCTCTGAAGTTCTCAGGACACTACCAGGGCCCCTAAAAGAAACACTCCTGATATTGTTTGCTGATTTGGCTTCCAAAGCATCATCTACTGAGTGTGTCCAACAATCAGTGCAAAATCTGAACACTGGCGTGTCCCAAATTCTGAAAACTGTTCCAAAGCCTCTAGCTGAAACTCTCGTGAAGCTCTCATCTGATCTAGCATCCAAGGCATCATCCTCGGCTCCTGGTGTTTTGATTGTTGATCATTTATCAAAGTTGGGTTTGTCCTACTTGGATCAGCTTTCACAGGCTGCCCAACCTGGAAGCAGCTCCTTTAACAGAGAGGGTGGTATTCCTGAAAGCAACACAGCTGCTAAAGAAAATAGAGAATTGGGTATCTCAGCCACATCAAAAGATGTACAAGGTGTTAGATCTGGCCATGAGAGTTCGGAAAAAATAAATCCCAAGGTAACCTTGGGAAGTGATGAAGTGAAAGTTTACAGTGTGGATGGAGGATCTAATGACAAGTCATCTGAGAATATAAATGTCACCTATCCTCACATTGTTTCTTTACCAAATTCAGGGAAGCCAGATTTTACTTCCCATGGTTCCAGAAAGAACGAGTTGTTGGTTAAAAAGTCCATCTTGAATAAAACAAATAATGGTAGGGAATCAGCATCTCCTGCCATATCCTCCATTGTGCCACCATTTTTTGCCAATAGCTTTGATACGACAAAGGTCGTCAGTAATCCAGGTGAACCTAAAGTTGAACCAAAACCTGCAAATTTCGGTGCTGCTGATCCTATAATGGATGACTGTGTTGATAACAGGGTGAAATCTGATGATTTAGGGAACACTTTAGGCCCGTTTTCTACTACTAATCCTGGGAATTGTTATATCCCGGACCAACATTCCAGTTCTGTTCCCACATATCATAACCCATCTTTTGGGCTGCTTATGGGGAATGGTACTGCCGCTTCACAACCTGCTGCTGAAGTGGGTCCCTTAGGGTGGAACATTAGTCAGAATAATTACAGTGCGAATATCTTTCATTGTGGCGTTCGTTGTGATGGTTGTAGGGTTTATCCCATAACTGGCCCTAGGTTCAAGTCGAAAGTGTAAGTGTTAATGGGACTGATTGACCTAGTATCTGTTTGGATTGAACTTGTCCTTTTATAATTTACTTTCAATGAGATCTTTTGTAAAGTTGGAGAAAAATAGATATGTCCATGTAAAAGATTCGCTTTCCTTATAGAATTTTCAGAAGAGCATAAGTTCATTATTGCCTTTGCAGAAAGATGGATTATGATCTGTGCAGCATCTGCTTTGGAGAAATGGGAAATCAAAATGATTATATCAGAATGGACCGCCCAGAAATTTATCGACCCCATAACGTTGTATGTGTATTTTCATATCAGTTTTAGTTCAGCATAGGTGCTAATGTTCCTTAGACTATCATGTGGTACACTCATGTTTTTTTATCCAATATCAGCAAAGCAGGGACTGGAATCAGAGTTTACAGCAACAGGTTCTCAGGAGTTTTGAGGTTAAACCAGTTGCAGAAAAGCCTGACAGTCTATTCATTTGTGATGTGAACATATTAGACGGTACTGTTATAGCACCTTCAACTCCATTCACCAAAATATGGCGGATGAAGAACACTGGGAATATTGTGTGGCCCAAGAAAACACAACTTGTCTGGATAGCTGGAGATAAGATGAGCAATGAGCTCACCGTGGAAGTAAAAGTGTGTGAATCTTCATTTAGACATCTTTCTTGAATTCTGGTGCAAGATAGAATCGTTTTATGTTTCATTTATGCCCTTCCTGAATTTCCCGTGCTCCCTTGATGCCAATTGAGCTGTTCATGCTGTCTATCCTTTAGTACTTTTTTTTGTTCTTAAATTTAATTTTTTATCGTCGTTTGTTTCTCCTTGTCAGATATTGGTGTGAAATTCTTTTCATGTTTTTTTGAATGGAATACTAGGTCACTGTGGATTTTATTTTGCAGATTCCCTCAACTGGTTTAAAGGTAGATGAGGAGCTCGATGTCATGGTTGATTTCATTTCCCCCAAGACTTGTGGCCGTTATGTCTCTTACTGGAGAATGGCACTACCGTCGGGCCAAAAGTTTGGGCAGCGGTTTTGGGTTGTCATCTTGGTTCGTCCTCTTTTCCTATCCATCGGCACTGTTTATCTTTTCTGACATATTCTCAGCCTTTTCACTGGGATATGCTTGTATTATGTTCATTTCTCTTTATTTTCCAGGTTGACTCTTCTATTAAAGAGTTCCCACGTGAAAACGTTCGGGACCTGAACCTGAACCTGAACCTACCTCCTGTGAGCAGCAGCTCGTTTGCTGGGTCTGAAATTATCAATGTAGAGCCTGAGTCGATGGTTGAGGATGACCCTTCTGAGGCCAAAAACTTGAAAACGTGTGAGAAACTAGAGCTGCAGCCAAACGTGGAGCAGGAGCTGAAATTCCCTATAGACAACAGCTTGTTGGTTGGGGATGATTTGGGGCAAGCTGTGGATGAACTCTGTGGTGTTGCTGACTGGGATCCTATTCTTGAGGAGCTGCAGGACATGGTGAGTTTTTATTAACTATGTATGAGTTTAGGTGTAGTTGTAAAAAAACATATATATGATCTCAGCATGCTGTTGCTTGTGAAATCTTTTCAGTTAGTATTCACATTCATTCTTACATTTTATGGAAAATTATTATTTCACCGTACTATTTTACACATCTATATTACAGTATACTATGTACATGTTCTTCCCTTCCGTGTCATGAAATTCAATCACTATTTTGTACCGACTGATGTTATTATTACATGAACTGTTATCATCGTACTTTTTCTTATTATAGCACTTCAGTAATCCATTTGTGTTTCCCCGAACATTGGTTTCACGCTATTTTTTATCTAACAAAAAGAAACAAATGGAAATTATGGATGGGTTCTATATACTGCTGCGATACTTTTGTATGCTTTATAGTGTTCTCGTCTTCACCCTTGATTGCTCAAGTTATGCATAAATTTATGTTTGTGTATATGAATTTGTGATACAGGGCTTCCATGATACTGATACCAACAAGATGCTGCTGAAGAAGAATAATGGGAGTATCAAGCGTGTAGTTATGGATCTAATTGCAGGCGAGAAGATTGAGTAAATATTAGTTACTGTATATATTAATATTATGCTGTTATGAATAATTGGCTGGCTCTGGGATTTGCCTTTATTATGGCGCTTTCGGTTGGTCTCTGGTGGTGTGTATGATTTATGCTCTGTTTAACTGGTTATCCCTCTGTTTATACAAAGTGCTATTTAAGTGCCCTTATATAGCTTTTATGTCTCAATGTGCTCCAAGGTTTCTTTTTCATCTTGGAAATGTGGTCTTGAACCTCGGTTATGCTTGTGAAAAGTATAATGATATATACTTGGAACTTGGAAGTAACACTAAATTCAGAGTGGAATTAAGTGTGATTGGTTGTTTGAATCTATAGTAGTGTAACAGACGGTGTTCAAATGATAAAACTAAATTTACTAGTCAAAGTTGGTGTTTCCTATTTAAGGATTTTAGTTGGTCAAGTTGCCAAGATTTTAGTCAAAAAGATTAATACCCACACACGAAAGGGTATGCGTGCGTGTTGATCCAACAATAAAAAATTCATTGATTTCACTACACTCTGTAGAGTCGAATCTTCCATTAAACTGTGGATGATACTCGTTAAAATACTTTGCGTAAAACAGCAATGAAGTTCATGCACAATCACTTCCCACAAGTGTTTGTTTTATTCCAAGAATTTTGAATTCCACAACTCACTTAGAAAAGTATCAGATTCATGCATGACCAAAAAACTATCTTAAAAGCATACACCTAAAAAGTAAATATACTTTCCTTGAAATTAACCTACTAACCTTATCCTTGAAATTTATGGTTATATCTTCCTATAAACACTATATAAAGAAGAAACACCAAAACTCCTGCTACACATATCTTCCTAGCAAGAGAGCTTAAGTGAGAGTGCCCACTAAAAAAAAAGAATAATAATAATAATAATAATCATGCAAAGAAGCTATGAGTACCACAGTAGCAGCAGCTATTACGAAATCAAAAGCCACAGCCGGTGTTATGCCAGCGCCGTATCCTCCGCAAATGAGTACTTTCAGAGTCTCCCAAATATACCAAAAATGCCAACCATCATTGCCGAATTTACTCACTTGCCAAACTTCCACAACCTTCTGAATAGTAACTATTCGGGAGAAGAAGCTCCAAGGAAACATCCGGAAAGGATTCCCCATACGAGCCATCAGAACAAGATTCCACGAGTGAATTATCATCTTCACAAGCAGCAGCCTCAGAAGGCGCTAAAGAAAGTTCAATATCATGATAAAAGGACCAGTAAAGATGGGAAACAAGATTTTTATGGCAGTCGTGATGTAGATGTCGACATGGAAGCTGATAGGTTCATAAGGCAGAGGAGAGAGAACTTTGATTTTTGCAGCAGGGATAATCGCGATGCTTATTAAGTTCGGCTAAGTGCATGTGGTTGGCAGATAAATAGCTAACTAAGATATGCCTAGCTCGATCGAGATGAACAACATGTGTATATCTGTGTTTTGTTTTTATGGGAGTTGTGAAAGGGTTTGTATGTCATGCCTTTTCAGCTCAATTTGTATCAAATATGTTGCTTTCCATATTTCTTTAGATGTATGACTAATGGAAATACACCACCCATGTTATGTCTTCTGCATCTACAAAATTATCAACTTCTAACAAAAATCCTCAAGAAAAAATTAAATGAAGAACAGAAAAAAGCATGCAACGAGATCACTGATTACCCTCACTTTCCGAACATGCACGAAATCTTCAAAAACAACTCAAACACAGGCTGAGGAAAATGATGATCATCAGAAGATGAATCATCACAAGAGCCAAAATTCGAAGCTGTCCAAGAAAGTTCACATTGTTGAACAAGAAAGAACACTGAAGCTGGTAAAGATGGAAAAGCCAAAGTCCTTCAATGTAAGACGATCGGTGTTAAGGCGGGATGGGTTCATCAAGTAGAATCACAAGAATTTGTTTCGTTGCTATGGGATACTTTTTAGGGTTAGTATAGTTGAGGTCACTGGTCAAGGATTTCGGGCAGGTGAAGGGGCAATTTTTGCCGAGAATTAAGCTATGCTTGACAAAGAAAATAAACAAGAGGCCTGTCCTCTATATCTATAGGTTATGAAAATAATTGATATGTTGGGTTTATCCTTTTTCAGAACTGTTGGTCAAAACTAACAATATCTTACATCTTCTCACATTCTTGGTTTTCCCCTGTTTTCATCTCCGACAAGTGACAACTTTCGGGGGGATTTGCAGTATTCATGTCTTAACTGACAGTACTAATAAGGATAGGAAAAGTCTAAGTTCAGGTTCAAAGCTTCTTTTGTTCAACATGTTCTATCTTATCGACGTCAAAGAAAGGATCGACCAGTGAGCCAAAAATAGTCATCAACAAACATTTGAAGATGAATATTTTCAACTAATTCAGAGAAATATGACCAAATTCAACTAAGACAACCCCCATTTGGATCCCTTTTGTAAATCACAGTTTACCACTTACATGATAAACTTTCAGAATCACACGTTATACCAGATAATCCTACGTTGATTCAAAATATCACTTCTGAGATGTGACAAGCATGCTAAGATGAATGAAGCTTGAATTTCCTTTCAGTTTAAAACTTATCCACCTCAAAATGAGAAAAATTGGATAAATGTTTAAGATGGTTTGGGCAAGTGCATAAGAGACTCTTCAATACACAGAGGTGAAAAGGAAAAAATTGTAATCCACATAATTTGAAAATATAGCCTTTGGCAGAAAACAATGGCATGATAGCCATACTCTAGATAGTGGGATAATAGCTATGTAACGGTTACCATTGGAAACCTTATCCACCTGAACTGAATGCAAAAAGTTTCTCAAGTTATGCAAAACCAAAACCTTGATTGCGTAAGGGATTAAGTATTTACATATCCAACAACAATTACCAGTGCAAGAAAAACAAATCTTGTCAACTTCAGATATATCAGATTTTCAATCAAAACAACATCAGCATAATACCTTCTAACTCAGAATAACATCACAACACTGCAGGAGACACATCCCATTTTTTTCCCCCTAAATAATTAAGGTGATGATAAATTACTCTAGCATAAAATGAAGCAAATTTAGAGCTTAACAGAGTAAATTTTCCACCCAATCACCGCAACAACATTCTCAAGCTAAACTAAATCCGCTTATCCATGACAATACGTAACCACAAAACCTTCATCATATACGATAATCAGCATCAACATTCCATAATCAAAATCAAATTCTAAAAAGAAAACATATGAGTCAAACATTCCAAAAAATGAAGCTTTAAGAAAACATAGCCATCTTTACCATCCATCCACGCTTTTTTACTCTATAATGGACTGAATGACACCGGCGCCCACCGTCTTCCCGCCTTCCCTGATCGCGAACCTCATCCCCTGCTCGCAAGCAATGGGCATTATAAGCTCAACCTCCATCTTCACCCGGTCACCGGGCATGACCATCTTCGACTCCTCGTCCTTATCGTTCTTGATCGTGATCACTTTTCCAGTCACATCTGTTGTTCTCATGTAAAACTGAGGCCTATAGCCTGCGAAAAACGGTGAGTGCCTCCCACCTTCCTCCTTTTTCAGCACGTAAACAATAGCAGAGAACTTTCTGTGAGGCGTGATGGTCCCGGGCTTGGCAAGAACCATACCCCTCTCGATATCCACCTTCTGAATACCTCTCAGCAATAAGCCAACATTATCCCCAGCCATTGCCTCGTCTAGGGTTTTCTGAAACATCTCGACACCAGTAACTGTAGTGTTTCTGGTCTCACGCAAACCCACAAGATCAATCGACTCGCCAATTCTAATGGTTCCTCTCTCTACCCTCCCGGTGGCCACTGTCCCACGGCCGGTGATGGAAAAGACATCTTCCACTGCCATCAAGAAGGGCAAATCTGTCTGCCTCTGAGGGATAGGGATGTAATTATCCACCTCGTCCATCAACTGGTAGATTTTGTCCACCCAATCGTTCTCTCCCCGCTTAATACTGGGGTTTGCCGTTAGAGCTTCTAGGGCGAGCAAGGCAGAGCCGCAAACAATGGGTACATCGTCACCGGGGAATTCGTACGAGGAAAGCAATTCTCGGACCTCTAATTCGACCAACTGGAGCAACTCCTCGTCATCCACCTGGTCCTGCTTGTTCAGGAAGACCACCATATTGGGGACGCCAACCTGTTTAGCCAACAAAATGTGTTCTTTGGTTTGTGGCATGGGGCCGTCGGCGCCGGAGACCACCAGAATCGCGCCGTCCATCTGGGCTGCGCCGGTAATCATGTTCTTGACGTAGTCGGCGTGGCCGGGGCAGTCCACGTGGGCGTAGTGCCGGTTGGCGGTCTCGTACTCGACGGTGGCGGTGTTGATGGTGATGCCGCGGGCCCTCTCCTCGGGGGCCGCGTCAATCTCGTCGTACTTCTTTGGGGCGGAGTTGCCGAGGGAGGCGAGGGCCATGGTGAGGGCGGCGGTGAGGGTGGTCTTGCCGTGGTCGACGTGGCCGATGGTGCCGATGTTGACGTGGGGCTTCTTCCGCTCGAACTTGCCGCGGGCTGCGCGGACGGTGAGGGAGCGGCGGCGGAGGAGGAGGGAGGAGGGGGGAGCGGCGGCGGATGGGCGGAGGAAGAGGGTGGCGGGAGGGTGGATGAAGGCGGATGAGAGGATGACTTTGGTGGGTTTTAGAGGGGCGGGGTTTGGGAGGGAAGGGGTGGAGGCGTATGTGTGTTTCGTGAAAGATGTGGCGGCGGCGAGGGAGGCCATTGCTGGCAGCTGTAGAGAGAAATTGGGGGAAGAAAATGGATGGGGAGAGGAAGTGAAGTGTGTGTTTGTGTGATAAAAGAGATTGATTGATGTGTGAGAAGAAGAAATGAGGACCTCTCGTCTGCTACACTCCTATCCGATTGCTACCTCCTCTCTAAGGATAACACTATTCAAATTTTGGGGTAAGGGGTTTCCGAACAATAATTTGTTGGAGAAAGTTTTGAGTTCGGCTCGTTAACTCTAACACCTAACCGAGTTGGCTCGTTTATTAAATGAACACCAGTTTATTCACCTCAAGTATAATAACATAACGGTAAGCACGATAACATTATAGTTTGTGAATGAAAAAAAAATGAACGGTATTTTTTTTTACAAATTCGGTAATCTTTGTTTTGAGCTTGAAATATAATGGTAGATCAAATTATTTATACCGTGTTTTATGCTTCTAGTATAGTGTTAAATCAAGTTATTACACCGTTATTCATTACAATCTGTCTGATAGATGAATTAACCTAATAATTTTTTTTTAACAAATATACCTATTAAAGAATTATTTTATGCTATCCTTTCAAATAAATCATGTCATTTTAATGATCATTGTGAAAATGTATTTTTATTGAGAAAATATAGTTATGTAACATAATATACTATCCCACACAACAAGGCCTACTGTTTTTTAAGTTATCAACATATTAGCCTTGCTAGAACAATGTTAGAAAATGATTTCTTCTTTTCTCTAAACGATATACTTATGTTAGTAAACACTAAAATTACAAATAAGAAAACAAGCAGCTGAATCAATAATCTAACTAAGCGAAAGTCTATTTAGATGTAGCCTAGACTCGACAACACAAAACAAACTAAACAAAAACTATCACACTTTGAGACCGGGAGAATAAAACACTCCCACTAGGGGTGGGTACGCTCCGGGATTTGATCTATCCCGGTTTTTTTAATCGGTCTGGGACGACACCCCGTCCCAAACGGATCGGTATCAATCGAGACCGGGACAAAACGGAAAAAAAAAAATGTTCAAACTTCAAACGGGTAAAACCCTTATCGACTCATTTTCTTCATGATAATTGTTGGTGAAATTATGTTTTATAGTTAAATATCGTATAGCGCTGGATTTTAAGAACGTGCAACAAGATTACAGTTTATAGTGTAGATTGATTCTGAGAGATTATTTTAGTTGAAGCTCTGTTGAAATAGAAACAAATAAAAGTTGGGTTTTTTTTATAGTTAAATATCGTATAGCGATGGAGATGGAGAAGAGAATGGGAATTTGGGATTCTGTGCTCTATACTTGTGCCCGTAAATATTAATAGGTATGTTAATGTTTATTGTTTAATTTTTTCATTTTTTGTTGGGCGAACTGTTTGTTAAGTGAATTGGGCTTTCATTAATAAAAAAAAAACCTGTTAAGATTGAATTGAAATTTGAAACAGAAACACAAGTTGAAAAATAATTAAATATAATACTAACATAATATAAATTAATGTATAATATATATATATATATATATATATAATATTTTTATACAAAAATAAAAAATAAAACGGGACAAACGGGACGGTTCGGGAAAAAAATATTAAATCTCCATTCCTCAAGCTAACCCGTCATCAGCACTATCCCCACAAGACTTAACCCGCATACAGCCGCACTCGAACAGGCCACCAACAGAACTCAAAGGCAAACACCAACACACTTTAACGTCATCCATCCTAAAGACGAAGCAATAACCGCATATCTAAAATGATATTCATTGAAAGAAGGAATTCAAGATATCATCAATAATATTCAGTTTGGGTTTTCGAAAGCTTCTGTTATCTCCAAAGTTGAAATTAAATCTCTTAATCAGCACTAAAAAGCAGCTCAAACAAACAGCAGAAGTTATCACAAATCACAATACTTGGCTCTCGTAATGTCTATTATGGGCAAACATGTAATATTTCCCAGTAAAAAACTGAATATGCAATGAATCAATAGAGCAACCAATAATTCCTAGAATTCATCAAGGCAACCTTAATTCATAGAATTCCATATAATCCACAGACATCTCACCTGAAAGCACCTCCTAACCTACTTCAAAACCCTGAACCTTTTTGTCAACTGAGCCCAAAAATCGATATCATGCTCAAAAACCTTCACGAATGAGGATGACAATATAAATAACTATTTAGAAAAAATTTCCTACACACAAGCTAGAAGAATATGGTTACGACGGCTTACATCACAGAAGGGTCATGACCGGCTGATTCATCTTTTGGGTCCTGCAATTCACGTCCATATAACTTCTTGTCACAGATGTTAAGAACCTTCTGACGACTTTCTTCCGGAAGCTCCTTCAGAAATGCCAAAACAGCTGCTTTGTGTTTATGCCTCAACTCATCCAACTCCTTGGTCTGCTCGTCCAGGACATGCTCAAGCTTTTCCACAATAATTTTCACTTCATCCAAAGAGTTTCTGCATGGGCCCGCATTCTCCCGCTGAGGTTCAGAAACTGCCCCATGCTTACTCTGACCATCACCGTTGGAATTATTCCTGGCATAATCGGAAATATTCACATCATGATGGCTCATAGGAGATTGCATGTTGACACCATTGGAATTATACTCCAAAGGCAAGCTTTCGTCACTGGCTTTGGGCGAGTGGGACCAATATTTTCGGCCGGACGGGAGTTTCTCCAAGACGAGTGGGCCCGATTCGTTAGTCACAGGGGCGTCCGGGACTGACGTTTGAGTCCCTGGAGTGAGGGCTGCTACTCTTATGCCGTGGGGTCCGGAAATTCCGGTTTCTGGGGACCCTTCCTCATTGAAATTGTTGTCAGCAGGCAGCTCTCTGGGGGCCCAATCGGGAATAAGGGATTGGATTTCGGAGTCGATCATAGCAGCTACGACCGAGACATCGTGATCCGTCAGATCGAGTTCTTCGACCATTTCACTGGCGACGGAATTGGAAGTGTCCTCCTCGATGTCGAATGGGAAATGAATGTTCCGAATATGACCTGAAAACAAAGAGAATGTAAAGCTTTGAAGATCATGAGAAAATAGATATACCTTTAAACATGATATTTGTATGCAATTCACAATTTCATCCTCAGTGAGCTTTGTTAAGAAATCCAGATTTCATGGGAAATTAACTCATAGTTCAAGATTACAAACTAACGTGTTTTTTCCCCTTACAATTAGGTGATGCCCCAAGAGTGGTTTTCCGTATTTATTACCCATTCATCTGCCCAACAAGGATAAGACGCGGAAAAACGGAACAATAATAATAATAATAATAACCTGATGAATCTCCTATCCGGAGTTTTAAAAATATTGTATTTTGGTCTTTTCTTTGGCCCTGTACTGTGAAATCCCGATTCCCCTCGAGAACAGAGTCATCTGGCGCCTTCCCATTGTAAAATCGGTTACCATTATCACCTGCAAATGCAAGAGGCACAAAAGAGTGGTGCATATGCCGCTCAGTAAAAGAAAGGTATATGCAAACTGCAATATGTGTTGGAAGGTTGAGGCTGTAATGAACAACTTCTTGAATTCTCACCCGAATGGAGAAATGGATCCATCAGTAACTCTTTGGCTGACAGCCGATCAGAGACTTTCGCAATGCACTTTTCTATGAATGCTCGAACTTCAGGGTCCATCACTTTCTCGAGTGATGCAGGCTTGATTCCCTTTAACAAGGTCAAAGAACTTAGTTGTATAGCACAAAAAGTCTAGTGTCATATTAAAACGGGAAAAAAGAAGGGAGAGATCTTTGGTCCAACCTAAAAAATTATTAAACTGCAGTCCTTTCTGGAAATTGGCATTAGAGTGTGATGAGCAGATCAGTTATTTATTAAGATTAGCCAACAAATGCTTAAATTCAACATAAAAAGGGGACTCCAACTTGGAGATATTGAATGGTCTTCCAGATTGATCCATGAAAAGAGGATAGGTACAAGTCCAACATGTGAAGAAGGAGAAAATATGGTACAAGTGGACACAATTTCTTTTGCATGGTTTGTGAACCTTTCTTGTTTTTACGTCCAACCTTTCTTATCAATTATCAGATCTATATAAACTCTGCATGGGTAAAAAAATGCTTCATCTTCGATAGTGGAGACTCAAGTTCAGATGCAGCTGGAGAACGAAGATGAATTCACACTGGTGCGGGTAAACACCACTATGTTAACTGTACAGATATCTAGTTAAGATTTTTATATAACTTGAAATATTGTATAGTAGGCACCAGCTAGGGCATTGTCAGCTGAACTTTGCCATTTGATTGCTTTTTCACCTTGTAATCGATTATTTTTCCTTCTCTGACTATTCTTGTCTCCGCCTTTTTCTTTTGTTATTTCCAGGGAAATTATAACAAACTCTACCTAATCCCTTAAAAAAGCAAATTAAAAGAAAGGGACTGGAATATAAACATCAAGGAGAACCAAGATTAACTTACAGCAGTCACTTTCTTATATATCTGAGCTGCATTGGTACATTCCACATAAGGGTACTCAAAGGTCACAAGCTCCAGCAAGCACATACCAAAGGCATATATATCGACAAGTTCATTGTATTCCTCCTCATAAAGCTCCGGTGCCATGAACTCCGGGGTCCCTTAAGCAAGATCACATTTTTCTTCCCCATTAAAATACTGAAAACACAATCACAAGTTATACACTTATACTAACTGAAATCTCACCTATGACACTGTGAGCTGCACGAGCTTGCTGAAGAATAGCAGCAAGTCCTAAGTCGCCTATCTTCACCTCCCCTTGATTCCCATTAACAAAAATATTATCACATTTCAAATCCCGATGAATAACTGGGGGATCATGGCCATGAAGATACGAAAGCCCCTCCAGGATTTGTCGAGACCATTTTTTCAGTGCGCGCACATCAACATGCTTGTGCTTCTTTCTATACCTATATAGACATATAAACCAACCCAATATTACATTTCATGAGGTGGGCACGTAGCTCATAGTTCATCACTTGAGAAACAAGGAAAAAAGTTATGAAAAGCTTCTTCCTTTATTCATTTAGATAAAGAAAAGAAAAATGAATCATACTGTCGCAGAGTCCCAGATGTGAAAATCTCGGTAATGAAGTTGATATGCTCGTTTCTGGTATCAACCCACGAGTTGTAGAATTTGATAATATTCTTGTGCTTGAGGGTCTTAAGCAGGTGAACTTCCGAATACAAACGCTCCAAATCAACGGAATTCCTCAAGAGATCAGCCACCTTAACCTGATTCCAGGCCACCTCTATTCCTTCCCATTCATCAAAAGCTCTGTATCTATACCCCACCAACAAATTCAAGGATTCACAAGAAAAACGGCATAAGTTATATCAAATTTTATTTGCTTATTTCTTCAAAAATGTTCACTTCACAGTACACATTATAATGAGATCACGCATGCCAGAAAGGATACACTTTCTTGCAAGCTCCCTTGCCTAGTACCTCTTTATACTGCAAAAACGCAACACAGGCATATTGAACTAACGAAGAACAAAACATTGAGCTGATAAACAAACCTCAAAAACCATTCCGGATCAACATATGCAAAATCAGATTAAAAAGGATAACGTTTGGTTGCACGCACCCGACCGTAGCGACCGGAGGGATCAACCTCCACAAATTCTGGTTCGGTGTCGGAATCGTCCGGGTCGAGCTCCGATGCCGACTCTGGAAGCATTCTCCGATTTGATTCAATAACAACAAATAAAAAAACGACGTTACCTACTTAGATTCAGATCTCAGTGCCAACAAATTTCGAGTCTTTATGGGCAAAATCAGTCAGTTCTGGGTGGAATACCGAGAGCTTTTGCGGCTTGGAAAATTTGGGAGCAGTATAAATTCAATAGTGGAGCTTATCAAATATCAACCATCCGAATTTGAATTATGTTGCTGTAAACCTGGTTTGTGTAGGAAGAGTTTCACGTCAGTTTACGAATGTGCATAAGAATATAATATGAATTAAGGATGCAATTAACAACATGAACTAAGGATGCGATTCATATTTTTTTAGTAGTTTTTTAATTTAATTACAGCCCCGTGAACAAAATCCCGTTCGACCTTGTTCCTTTGTTAATATAGGAAAGTTAAATAGTTGACGGGAATGTTAGATAATATTTAAATTTATATATATTTTTATTAATTTTATACTATTTATCTGTATGATATTTTTAATAAGAGAATCTAAAACATAAAAATATTTTATTTCAATTTATTTTTTCGATTCGAGTTCGAATACTCAATAATTATTAAAAAATTAAAACCCTGACAAATAATTAAAAGAATAAATTGAAATATGATTATTTGCTCGAAAAATAAACAAGCGAACACAAATAATGTAGGAACATAATCAAACACTAGAACGAAGGACGGAGCTACATGGGGCCTGGGGGCCCTGAACTCCCCTCAATTTTTTTTTTTAAAAATCAATATATATATATATATATTATTTATATATATATTTATATATATAAAGAAAAAATTATACAATATGTATAGATATGTAAAAAATATGTACAACATATTAATAATTAAAATTATATTTTCTATGCTATTTTAATTTAAATTAATAGTATTATTTATTTATTGAAAAATGGACTAACAATCCTTATATTTTACATTTCTAGATAAATTTTTGAAAATGTTTATAATGTTTTACTCTTTTGGTCTCTTAATTGTAAATAGATTTAGTGAATTATAAAAACGAGTATTTAATTTGATAGTTATATTTTTTAATGTTGATTTTTTGTTTTGTTTTGTGTAATTACGTATTTAACTT